CTCGGAGACACATATGAATTGGCGGACAATATGTGGGGCGAGAACTCAGTTCCGCAGACAAAAGTGTTGCCATTAGTAGATGTGGTCATAACTCACGGCGGGAACAACTCTATGACCGAAACGTTCAGTTGTGGTAAACCAATGATTGTGATGCCCTTATGGACCGATCAATACGATAACGCACAGAGAGTTGAAGACAAAGGGTTTGGCCTAAGACTTGATCCGTACAACTGTTCAGAAAAACAATTATTGGATTCAATCGAAAAGCTATTGAATGATAAGGAAATGAAACACAAATTATTCGTCGCTTCGAAACGCATACAAAACTCGAAAAGCATTCAAAGAGTGGCCGAAAAAATTGAAAATCTCGTCAAATAATTTTATTAAAGTATAATTTAAATAATGTTTTTTAAAAATAACATTTAAATGTGTATAACATATTAATTTTATTATTAAATTTTAATTACTATCAAAACTACTTAATCATCAATTAATACTTCAAAATTCAATGCTATAATGTTTAGTCCAAACAATCATTACATCTAATAATATAAAAGGGATTTGGGATTAAATTAAATAACAAATTTTTTAGTACTGTATATGTTTTTTGAGCAAGTGTCCTTCAAGCAAATGTCTATATCCTGTATTACATTTAACAATTAACAGTAAATTTAATCGCATATAACTCAATGAGTGCAATGTTTAACATTTTTAGTGCAAGTGGTACTTAAGATTAGCGATCAGTGATTACGCATATCAATGATATACAAAAATGTTTAGTATAAATGCTTAAACATTTCACAGCAATTTAATCACATTTTCCATAAACAGTAAAACATTTTACTATTTAGTAAATATAATATTTATTAAGTTTCATCAATTAATTTCAAAACATGGTACAAAACTTGACCATATTATTCGCACCCGTGGAAGGGGTGTGACACGTGAATGCGTGCATAGGTTTGGCTGAAGTGCTGCTGAGTCGGGGCCACAAAGTGGTGTTCGCTGTCGACCAGTCGTTTGCGGGAAAGTTATCGCCGTTTGGTTTCATCGAAGAGATCATAACTTCAGACGAAACTAATAATCAAAAGCCCGGCGAAAGCGAAGCCAAGGATTTGCTCAATTCGGGCCTTTTGTCAAACGTAACGCCATTTAAATCGATGCAAATTATGATGACTTTACCATTCTTTGAGGGATTAGTCGACAACTGCAGGGCTAAAGAACCACAGCTTAAGGCAATTATAGCCAAACATAATCCCGATTTGTATATCATTGACGACTTCATCTGTTCTCCAACACTAATCCACTCAACCAAACCCTGGGTTTTCCTGTTTAGCGGAAATCCATTGTTTGTCTTACACGACGACAGGACTCCTCCTGAATGCTCGGGTCAGTTGTTTTGTAACATTTATTAAATTTTTAACTATTTATAATTTATATATTTCTATGAATTCAGGCTATCCTTCAAACGGTGATCGACAGAAGTGGCAGGAATTCAGGGAATTATCAAAAAATATGTTTAAAAAACAAAGCATTAAATATAATGAATGGATGAAAGAGGAAGGCTTTCCCGTAAACAATGAGAACAATACACTTCCAAATTCCCCGTATCTTAATATCTATGGCTTTCCCGAAGAACTCGATTACACAGATCTCAGACCACTTCCAGAGAAGTGGTTAAGAGTCGACACATTCATGAGAAAAGGCGAGAAACAAGAGTTTAAAATTCCCGATAAATTCCGTGACAGAGATATAGAGAAAAGTAAACTAATTTATCTCTCATTGGGTTCTATGGGTTCAGTAAATGTGGATCTAATGAAGAGATTGTTATCTATTCTCTCGAAATCAAACCACAAATTCATTGTCTCGAAAGGACTTCTCGGAGACACATATGAATTGGCGGACAATATGTGGGGCGAGAACTCAGTTCCGCAGACAAAAGTGTTGCCATTAGTAGATGTGGTCATAA